GCCTCTGCCGGGGCGGCCACCTTCCCGGGCGGCTGCGAATCTGTCCCCTTCACTGGCAGACGCAGCCTCGCTGGATTGGTCTAACGGCACTGCCGCTGCGACCACGGCCACTCGTGGCCGATGCTGGTTCCCGCTCGGGCCTGACGCAGATGAACGGAGGTTCTTGGCCTCCTTGTTCGTGACGATGATCTGCGCAGCCTTGTCAAATAACTCCGCCGTCGTCGTCAAGGTGTCCTCGACATGCGTCAGGGCATTGCTCACTGCCGGACATGACCTTGAGATGAAGTAGTGGCGGATGGCCTTGAAGCCCATCTGGATGTCTGGGACTGACGTCAAGCGTTGGTACTCGACGATCCAGTCTACTCGGCAGCGTGCCTTGCTCGAAGACCATGAGCTTGTCCATGGCTTTGATCTTTGGCGGCTCCACCTAGAACCGCTTGTGCCACGTCGCCTTCAGATCATCCCAGCTGATCATGGTGTGCAAGTCCGCTGCTACCACTCCGTACTTGGACAACAAGTTGTTCAACCACGCCTGACACGCGCCCCCTGAGCGAGAGTACAAGTAAGCAAGGTGCTTGTTTTCCTTGACGTTGTGGAGTTGCAATGTGAGCTCGAACTTGCGAAACCATGGAATTGGATCTGTCTTGATTGAGTCGTGGAAGATCTCCTGCCCATCGAACTTAGGAGTTGTCTCGCGCGGCTCTGGACTCGAGGTAGTGGCGGTGGTGCAGATCCGCTGCTGCAATTGTTGCGTCGCGGTCTGCTGTAACTGTGCGCCATCCTGGAGGGAGCCGACGCGCATCTCCAATGCGGTGAGGCGGTCGACAGTGTTGGAAGAGCCTGCATCGACGGCGGCGACTGGTCGCTGCTCCACCCGCTGAAGGCGGTCTTGGAGATGAGCTACCGAGTTGTCGAGAGCAAGGATCTCCGCCTGCTGAGTAATGCAGGTTGCCAGGAGATCCGTGAGATGCGAGAGGAGGAGCGCTATTTTGTTTGCGCTATCCTCCAACTGGCTATTCTCGGCCTCGCTTCACCATTCTGCTGCCATGTAAGTAATGCCCGCTCTCCGGTGAATATCTTCTCACGACGTTGTGTTCTTTCTTCATCGGCAGCCCTTGCTGCTGCCTCGTCGTGCTGGCGCTGTTGTTCAAGTGCCAGCAGACGTGCCTGCTCGACATCCTCGGCCTTCTTCTTCGCTGCTGCTGCAGCGTCATCTGCCCGTTTCTTTGTCTCTGTACTCCAGGCCAGCATGCGGGCCTGATAGGCCTCGTCTACTTCCCCGGGCCTCTGGTCCATAACTGCTGTTTGAGATCGCAACAGCATAAACCGGGCGGGGGCCTGTTGATGTGGTATCCCTTGCTGCTGACGTGGCACTGTTGACTTGTCCTGCTGACGTGGTCTGCTGACGTGGTCTGCTGACGTCGCCTGCTGACGTGGCAACTCACCAATGCCGCCGCGGGGGGTACCCGGATACCAACAGAAATGGAAAGGCGAGAGATGGCAACAACATAGGTGGGGAGGGGTGGGTGGGATAATCGCCCGACCAATCACTTAGATAAGGAGCCACTAATCAAACAAGAAAAGTTCGAACTCTGCAAAAAAATTCGAGAAAAATAATTAAAAAAATCCCGATTTCTGCAAGTTCGGTAGGTCTCCCAACCTCCCGTGAAGTGCGATATGATCACTGAAAGAAAAATTTCGACTTTTAGACTGCCAATGATTTATAGACCTGAACGACAGAATCCCAGAACTGCGAAAAAAAAATCCGAACCGAAATGACAAATATTCGAATTTATTCCGATGAGAATATTCGCAGTTTGGAAAATAATATTGCAGGAGGTATTTCCCGTACCGTTTTCAGAAAACGAATTTCAGAAAAGAAAATATTCCAAATTTCTAAGTAACGGGAAACGCAACAGGAAATCGAAATTTTTGAAAAGAAAAATATTCCAGATTTTCAACAGCGAAATTTCGAATTTTCAGAAGAAAAACGAAAATGGGAATTTCAGATGTTGCAATTTTGCGATTTTCCACAACAGAATAGCGAGAAAATAAAATCCAAGAAAAGAAAAAAATTTTGATTTTCGGTAGTGAGGTCAAGATCGTGATTTTGGGGTCTAACTAGTATGTCCTAATCAACCAATAAAGACTAACTAGCTTTTTTGGTCCCCGCACACGTGTCAGATCAGGGTGTC